TTGCTACACAGAAACTTGACAAATTTATTCAGCAAGAGTGAGCGTGCAACTTCCCTTTATCCACGGGTGAAAGGCAACCGTTAGAACCCCGGGCTATGGTGATCACTTCCAATATAAACTTTTTGTAAATCAGACTTCTGGGCTTCCGCAGTGGTGTCTTTTCCTATCTGCCATGTCAGGTGGATGCTGAAAAATAAGCAGTGCCAGTAAAAAAAGAGAAGACTACAGTCCAGTAAGACTTGGGGATGGGGGGAAAAAGAGTAAGGCAATTGGTTTCAGTCCAGGGAGGGAGCTCTCAGAAATACTTCCCTGGACCAGGAATTTAGGCGGTAAGAAAATGTGCAATTCAACTTAAAATCCCAGTCGTATACTGCAGGCAGGATTACTATAAATATGTTTTAACAAATGCATTTTCACAGTGTCCAATTCTTTTTATATATATATCAATTTTAACTTAATACTTACCATACCATACCATTTACAAGAAACAACTTCAGTGATCAGACCCCTTCTTAACCTTTAATGGATGCCCCTAAGGCAAACCTCTTTAAAAATGAATAAAACAATAACAATGCTGCTAAAAAAAAATTAAAACTCTAAATTTCTGATGAGAAAGAAACATGAAAGAACATAGAAGCAAACCCTGAGCATGGGTTCATCTCCACCATCAACCAGGTAACAGTCGGATAACCCCATTTTACTTGCAGCTTTTCAACGTGTCACACTTTGTTTTGTCCCGTGCCCTCCCCTCTGGGCATTAATATGTCCCTTTTCAAAGGGACAGACACAACAATAAGCTTGGAGGTGTTCCAAACATTGCATGATTCTCAGATGTAATAAGCTATTTGATTAAGTGAGTTTGATCATGAAATAGCTTTTATTCTTGGCAGAGTAAAGAGGCTACTGTACCAGAATTTAGATGATGTATCACTAAAACTCACTAAAACCAGAGCTAATGGAACTCTTTAGTAAAACAGCTACTTCAGGCTACCTGAGTCATCCTCCTATTCAGTTATGCAAGTCTGGGATTCAATAATTTTAATATTTGCTTTTTATTTACAAATGTATAAGTATTGTTGGAAAATTAAATGGGTTTATTCCAGGTGTGATAACCTTTACCATATCACAGCCAGCAACCATGACGGGCTGATGTCCAACAAGTAATAGAGACAAATGACTTCATTTTATCTGGTTTGAAACATCAATGTTGAAAAATGCTGCACAATTGAACCTTTTCTCTCTACTCCATTCAACCGTGATTCCGCATTCATAAATAATAACTGCACAGTCAATAATTTTGACAACCTTTCCACCCAGAGTGAAACAAATGACTCCTGGCTAAAACTAAGGAAATTAGACTCAAGCCTTTCTATACTGAACAATGTTGAAATTCTTACTAAACTCTTAACTGTGTCATTATGGCTGTATGTAACTGTAGGGTAACTGTAGGTGTGTATTCTGGTCAGTTGGGTTCATATGTTACATCATTTCTTCAGACAATATATTGCTGTGTCAACAGATTACTGTGGTCCACACACACATGGCTACACATACCGACTATCGACCTAAGGCTCACTGTGTTTTTATGGCCACCAAGGAAGGACATCCACAAACAGCAGTTTGAGCAATGTTGGGAGAATAATTATGCTAATTTCTTTTTCCCCACAGAGAATGAAAAGCAGTGGCAATCACTCTATTCAAGTTCTTTACTCTTCTCTGAAAGCAAAATTGAAATCATTTTCGTATCACCTTTGTCCATATGAAAAAGGAAGTACATGCATGTGTGTGACAGAGAGTATAAACAGTACATGTGGGCAACTACTGTGTGCCTGGCAGGTTCAATAGAAGGTGCATTAGTGTGTGCACTGTATGTATCTCTCACAATATGGCTGCTGAGTGAGAAATAAACAGTGTGATCACATGGCAGGCTGGTTCTTTGCTATTCATTTTACTGCACCTGTTTCGGCCCCATTTTTTGATGACATGCATCCGTACCTTTTATAAAGCTACAAAGAGATGCAACTCATTCACCTGTTTATCCTGGTTTTACTCTCATTATGCATGCAGACAAAGGAACATAGTACACAAGCTATTTGGTTTCTGTGGCTGCAGAGAGATAATTACATAGAACATTCTACAAGGAATTAAACCCTTTGAAAGCTATCTATTTCAGATATGTAGAAGGCAAATCAAGGGTACATGCTTGGTTAAAGCTATTTCACTCTGGAGTAAAGAGAGAGTGTAACCCGGTCGATAGGGCTGTGAGTTAACACTGCAAGTCCTAAGAGTTCATTGCAAAAAAAAAAAAAAATGAGCATAAGTTTCATACACAAATTGAAAACACTGCCCAATATAATAAATCCTACCTTGGTTTTCAGAGCAGGCTCAAGGAAAATTCCCCAAAGGTTGCCATGTTCAGAAAAATGTTGATTCATTGATTGTGCAAGCCCAGAAAAGGCTCAAGGATACAAGGCTGCTTGTACTTCGAGAAGTACGGAAACGCAAAGAGAAGAAAGAGAAGACGATGAAGAGAATGAGCCGAAACTTAAACTTGGAGCAGGCTCTCAAGGTCAAGAGATGAAATGTGTTTTTCAGTGTTCCAAGTTGGCAGAAGTGAAGACTGAAGGGCAGGTCTGAAAATGTGCAGCTGTTGCGAGGAAGGAAAGAAAACGCTGCAATAGAAAACAGCTATAGCAATGCATGCACAATGTGAAAGAGGCTGACATACTGTTGTATGACACATTTGAAAAAAAATAAAACATTAGTTTGACAGAGTTGGTAAAAATGTATTTTTCCAGCTGTTAATAGATCTTAGAAGTTTTGAATGAATTGCAGTCTTATTTCAAAATGTGTTACACTGCCATATCAAATCAGTGTTCCCCAATTGTGTCACTGGTAAGTACTGGTTGTTCTCTCAGATATTATGAATATGTTATACTGTAGTATGGCAACCCCTCACCAAGAAAACATTGCACAAGATTCAAGAAAACTCACAGTAGGGGAGAGTGAACTATAAACAGCAGCCAATGAACACATAAGAATAATATTGTGTGTTCAGAAACAGAAGTATAACAAAGTGGTGTCAGTGCCGATGCTCTCATATGTCTGAAATTTTCACGAGTTTGAAATAATTTAGACTGCATGTAGTGTAGACTTTTTTTTGACTGCAGTTATACAATATCTTTGTTCAGGCTGCTGGTGAGGTCCTTTCCTCCACTCTACACACTCTCACAAAACAGACACACATCTCCTAGGTGTTTCCACAGAACACACCTGGTGCCATACACATCCACCTGTCATCTTTGTAACCAGCACAGTAAAGCCGCTAACGCTCCCCACAGCCAACAACTCGAATGCAGGATTCAGCAACCCTCTCCTCTCTTCATCATTTGCTCTCCTCTCTCGAGGAGCGAGAGATCTCTTTGCTTATCACGGCATGGCTGTCATGCCGACAGAGCAGTTATTATCGCATTCCTTGAATCTTCCAAGAGCCAAAGGAGCACCTTGCTAATCAGCCCCTTACTGACATGCCCACTCATATTCTGTCTAGCTAACATGGCAACAAACATAACAATGTCAACAACACACAACAATCAGAGATACACTTCATCACAAATGGTGGTTTGAAAAAAAAAATTTAAAATTAAAAAGAAGGAGGGTGATATAGCTTAATTCAGCACCCACCACTTAATAAGCAAACAAAGACTTGTGCAAACAAGTCTATTAGCCTGTCACCCTGCCTCTGCCCCTGTTTAAATCATGCCTGTGAGGAGTGCTGAATGCTAATTGTACATAAGCTCTATGTTATCAAGCTGAGCTCTGCTACACATGTAGTTCTTAAACACTGCAAGAAATATTTATTAACAAATCTTTTATTATCATATTTAGCTTTAAAAAAATACATTTATAAATTTGGATTTATGTAAAACAGTTAAAAATAAGAGGTATATCACTCCACTAGTACCAAAATTCAACATCAGATCAGATTTATTGCTGTAGTATTGGGTTTACCATACATTTTATTAACAGCTCCCTGACAAGAAGTCAGGATATTTTCTTTTTTTACACAGTAATTTACATGCTGCTATGCTGCTAGTTCACACCTAAACAATATCTATGCAAATATATATAATGCAGCTTTAACAGTGGGTACTCAGTAAAAGCATTAGCCACAATCATATTACAATAAACACATGCTGTCAAGCTAGAAAAGAAACACTTAAAACCAATAAAATAAACAACACACTTGGGATAAATCTATTTCTCCTCTCCATACCTTCCCTCAAGAGCTCCCTTGCTGCCAGCCACACAGCGGGTGACCACATGGCAGGGACACGGGACGTAAATCACCGTTTCTCCTCGCAGCATGTTTTAGCAGTGCCTCAGAAGCCGAGGAGCCAATCTCTTGGTGAACCCTGAGTTTTATATTCCAAGGTGTTACTATGAATAATGTGTGAGTAACAGAACATCAGAAGAGGAGTGAATGTTGAGAGTTGTGCAATCTGTGTGGCTCTGCTAAAGCAAGGTAATTAGGTCTTGTCAACTAATATTTCGATTTTGATATTTAACTTGTGGGCAGTAACATTTGCTGTTTAAGCGATCTGTGGGGTTCTAATGTGATGCTATTAAAGCTGCACAAGGCGAGATATTTATGTATGTAAAAATGCAACCTTCTCATCAGCTTCAATAACACATTAAGAATAAGAAGATTAGAGCATCCCATTTCCACTAATTGAGAACCTGCAGATTCACACAAACGGTCTCCGAACGAGACATAAATGAGTTGTTCATTGGGAGAAAGCTGGACTCACCAATGACAGATTCCACCAACCTTTGAACAAGGAACAGCACTAAAAGAGTAGAATTGCAAAGATGCCTGTGTGGCTGTAACTTACTGACTCTAAGTTTCTAGCACCAGCTATCCGCCTTCCTATATCTCCACCACTCACTCTAGGCATACACAGTCAAACCAAAATAATAACTAAAAATGTTTCACTTACGGTCGTTGCAAAATGAACCTCCATAGGACGTCATGGTGCAGTCGCAGGTGAAGCCCTCCCACTGCTGGAGACACACCCCCTGATGGTAGCAGGACTCCTCCGTACAGGTGGTACTGGGTCCTGAGGGCATATAACAAACACATAGTGTGTCTAAGTAAATAGCATGTTATAGTATTTGTAGCATTTTAGGCTGACGCAGAAAGAAAACCCTCGGGCAGCTCTGCTGGCAGTCCATTTCCCTTGGCAATGACAGCTGAGGATACTTTTAAAAAATAGAATAGAAATATCTGATATTTACATTCAAACACCTGCTGTAATTTGAAAGGTTTTCTATTATTAGTATTGTAAATCCTGCTGAGAATCAACACCTTTATCCTGCTGGATGTTTCAGTAGCCAACTGTTAGCCATGTGAACTTTATAAGCCAATCAGACTTTCTTAATGTGAGTTTAAGGACAGGTTCACAATCATTCTGTCTTAAAACCATAGCCAGGTGCATGTAAGAACATTGAAACAGGCTTTTCTTTCAATAATCATTCCTCCTGTTCCTCCTTTCCCTAGCTGACAGGCTTCCGTTGTTAGTGATGGGGGGAAAGTTTATGTGGAGCTCATATGAGACTTCAGCAGTCCAGGTTAGACAAATCTGGTAGATATTTTACAAAGTTACAGCTTTTTTATGATGCAACATTTTGTTACAATCCCTCCACTACAGCTCAACAGGGAAACAAAGAGAAGAAATTTCATCCTATAAACATTGCACCTTTAGAAGATTTTGTCTTGAACTGACTAACTCAGAAGGTTAAAACCTCAAACGCCTATGGATTTTGCCCCCCATCATTTACACTGAAGTACATTGGGAAGTGATCTCTTAATGGCCAATATGCACTGATTACAGCAAGCAAAACCTGTTTCAGTGTTGATACAGGTGCCTGACTATAGCTTTAAGACTTGACTTGAATGTAGTGAACCTGTTCTTTAACTCTGAATATGTTGTTAAAACATTGTTTACTAGCATGAAAGCCGAATATAAAACATAAACCTCATACTGTAATACCAAATACAGTAAGTGATTTGATTAATGTCGCTTAGGAATGTATTCAGATCAAATTTGACTTTGATTCAAGGTTGAAACCTTGTTTAATCATCAAGCTAGGGACACAATTGCATTGTAAATAAGTGGCGGTGGAGTCAGTTTAGCATCTCCAGTGCATCTGTGTGTGATATGTGTGTGATATGTGTGTGTGTGTTTTGGGGGAGTGGGGAGATGCTCTCTCTCCTGTTGTTCCCTCCCACTGTTATGGATGGCTGAAGACATTTAAATTGTCAATTAGAAACTCCACTGCTGTAATTTCTCAGTGGAATTCCAGCCACTTATTAAGATAGCTAATGTGACAGACTGCCTTGAAAACTCATATTTTCACTTCAGATTATTTATACTACTGATCCAACAGGCATTGTCGTGTGAAAAAGGAAAATAATTTACCAAGTTTGCCTTTGTTGCCTCTGTGTTATTAGAAGATAATACAACTGATGACAATCAAAGATCATCATTAGTTTTCTTCCCAACGAAATTAGATGGGAAAAAGCTGAATGACAGATGTAAGATTAGGATGCAGATCAAGTCTCAGGCAAGAGAATTGTTCTAAAAATAAGTACGTGTGGTGGCTGTCATGTTGGTGGTGGTGGGGATTCTCATTAAAATCTCAATTAAACACAAACATTTCCAAAGATCCATGGTTCAGTGCCAGACTAATTTGTTTCCGCATAAATAAACAGACATCTCACTGTGCCATTTACAAATGGCCCAATTAAAAAAAGACCCCCCAAACCCGCAGAAAATATTAAATAAATAAAAATAAATAATTAAATCCACAATCTATCAGAGCTTTTACTTTCCGCTCCAAAATGTCCACTTCAATTCAATGTAATTTCCCTTCTATCTGCTTGTTCTGTTAGTAGTTCCTAACCAGGCTAATTGTCCCATGAATTACTCACTAATAAAAGGTTCCCTTGAGGAGCTAATTTAGCACATTGTCATAATTAATAACCAAGTCATATAATCGCTTTCTCACTCTTCCTTCAACTATTGATCACCCTAACACTACATTTGTACAAGAACCTGTTGGTAGGTACCTTGGGTTTGTTTGAGCATTAAACTCCGTCTGCTATGTTTTCTCCAAATGCTCAGGAAATCCTGAACAATATAGGAAGCCAATAAGCCTAACATAAACTGTAAAAACCAAAAGTGAACACACATCTCTACTCCCTCGCTGCTGTCACCTGCGTCTACAAGTAACAGCTGGGTTACAACTGAAACATCTGTTCACATATTAGCAGCGTAGAATAGGCCAGAGTGCTCAACTGCAGATCCAGTTGAGGTTTCAGTTCGTAATGAAATTAGTGTTTGAAGGAGGCCTTTTTTTTAACATTATTAATAGTGGTCTACAGTTTTTAAGGTGGACAGAATCTTCAAATGATTTCTTGTGTTTTATTTTATTAATCTTGGAAAGGGATTTAAACTCTTGTGAACCCTTCAGAATTGTCTGTATTTCTGCATAATGTGATCCCAAAATGTGATAAGATATTCATCAAAGTTCTGAAAATACATAAAAAGGACCCAGTTAAACAAATAACACAATAAACATGATACTTTAAAAAAAATTTGAGCAAGGTTATGCAACATTTATTTTCTTTGTTGAAAAAAAGGACATGACCCTTTGCTTTCAGTACCTACTGTGACCTCTATGAGCAGCAATGACAGTTTCTGTAACTATTGATAGGTAGCTTGTTGCTGCTCACAGAACTGCTTCAAATCAGCGAAGTTCGTCCATGAACTGCCCTCTTCAGGCCTTTCCACCTAATTTCTATTGCATTAATTTATGGACTCCATTCCAAAACATTACATTCTTTTATGCTTCAACCATTCTTTGCTAGACTGAATTGTGTGTTTAGGGTTATTGTCTTTCTGCATGACGCAACATTTGTTAGGCTTCAGTTTTCGAACAAATACCCTGAAATTGTCCTGCAGAATTTCCATACTTCGACAAACTTTTGTGGTGAAGACCAGACTTTATATTCAGGTTTATATTCTTTCCTTAGGGCATGGACCTAAACTCACACCTGATTGTCATCCCATTGATTGAAACACCTGACTCAAATCCCCCTCCTAAATGAACTAACTGACTGAGGTTTACATACTTCTTCCAACACAGACATTTAATGTTGGATCATTTTGCTAAATAAATTTAAAAAAATGTATTATTTGTTTACAGTGAGTCAGCAACACTGTTTATGTACCTGTACTTCAACTCTCTCGGCCTCAGTCTCCTTCCCTTTTCCCCATCTTGTTCTTTGTTGTTGTGATCCGCTGAGTCAGTAGAGAGCTACAAGAACAAGCTCAATGTTCTGCCCTTTGTTTGGCCTTCGGTCTAGAGAGACTGGACCAGCAGCCACCTCTGACCACTATGTTTCCTCAGTCCACAAGCTAACAATGACCTCAGAACCAAGTCGGTCAGAACTTTGGCAGTGATCCATATCCAGGACAACACTGCATTTGAAAAAGTCATCCTCATTACTCTCAGTATTATTTTTGTAACCCAGGAATTTAGACCAGATCAGATCTGAACTTTTGTTATTAGAGAAAACCAATCAACAGAAGAAAACTATTAAATATAGTTTGAGTAATTTAACTTATTTGATGTCAGGGTTTGGCTTCTCTGGTACCTGGTAAAGAATACAATTCTGAATTTGATTATAGTATATTAGATAAGTAGTCTAAATTGTTTTTGATGTATTCCTGTAATATCAACAAGGGGATTTGTGGATTTGCAACAGCCTCAGGACTAGGTATACTATTATTTGTCAAAAAGGTCCACCCTTCCTAAACTGGTCAATCCAATCATTAACTAATATTAGCATCCATTTTGGGTGCCTGCAGGAGTCAATATGATAGCTTCATGTAGTTTTAAACTGGTGTTTGGAGCAAAGTAATTGTTGTGTGTAACTGTTGGCTGGTAATAAGGAAAAGAAATAAAAAAAGAAAGAAATAAAAAAAAACCTGGATCGGTGCCGCATCTGTGGCAGTGTGGCCCTCAGGGAAATCAAGTCAGTGCTCCCTGACACGCCATTGAGACGTGGTGNNAGGGGGGGGGGGGCTATAGTCAAAATCCACTGTTATACACAGGATTAACTACCAGACACTGGAGCCATGCAGCCAGAGACATAGTGGTGAACTACGCACAGCAGAGGTAAAAACACAACAAATGCAAGATTGATGAGGCAAAAGCCAATGAGGGTGGGGTGTCGCTGAGATTAGCCACACTGAAAATAACATTAGAGGAGAGAGATACCTCCCTCATGCAGGTTTTATGGGGCAATAGAGAGGATATACAGAGGACAGGGGCTTAGATTGTAAAGACTGCCCAGAGCTCTGAGAATTTGGGCGGGGTTGCTGCTGTATATCAGGGAATAACAGACACATACAAATGCACCAAATTAATGTAGGGTGTGTTTTTACCAAAAGCTATGTACAAGTGGCCATTTTGTGTGGAATCCATAGAAGTAAACAAATCAAATGTATGGGTGTGTATGAAAACAGTAACAGGTAAAATGGCTATTTCAAACAGAGAACCAAGGTGGTGTGTACAAAATGCTTTTTGTATTGCTAAAATAACTTCAAAAAAATGTTTTATCTTTAAGTAACAATTAACACAACCTATCATCAATATCTGAAACATTTAGCAAATGTCTTTATCTTCACCTCGAAATGACAGATTGAAATTAGATTGTACAAAAAATTGATTCTGACCCTATTCATGACATGTTCTCTTTATAATTATCTATCATCTTCTCAAACTAGATATCCTTGATGAGAAATCGTTGGAAAAAGTTGGCATTCTTTGTGACAAATTATTGTCACTAATAATAAGAACACCAGATTATACACCCGATGATAACACAAACACTTAAAATCAATGCCATTTGATTTCCCCTGTTGTCTCACAGGACAATTATTTCTACTTATCTTTGAACATGAGATGGATGTCTCTAATTACGGGACTGTAGCTACAAACAACAAACAACATCGGTATTAAGTAAAGCACTAGTACTTTTGAAATAAAAAGTTATGTTTACTGTATGTGAAAGTCTGTATGTGACAGACAACTGTTTCCCCCACTCACCATCGCAGCCTCGTTCCACCTGACCCACCCTGTGGAGTGCATCTGCGATCAGGTCGGGGAGTCTCCCATTCAGGTCCACAGAGGCCAGACAGCCTTGGTACCCGTCCCGGGATGCAATCAGCTTGGGCAGATTGCTGTACATGTTCTTTATCACGCCACCGATGTACAGCTCTCCTGCAAAACACACACATATGGAAACCCCCTGTGAGAAAGATTTGACATTATACAAAATACATACTGATTACCTGTGCACAGCATTCATTACTTATACAAAACACATTCTGTATAAATACAAATATAGAGAATTATTCAGACAACCACTTTCATTTAAGACTCCTTTTAAAGTTAAACAGACAACAACATTAGTATACATATCAGTGTTAGGGAGGCGAAGATAAAATGACCCAATAGTAAGATAAAGAATTTCGAAGTTCAACATCAAACCAAACACAAATTAAAATGTTATGGTAAAGAAGCAGAAAAAGGCTTAAAAATACTACAGTCTTTTTTTCTATTTTAATATATTCCACCTCCCATCCACTGCAATCCTGATTATAATTAATCCTGTTGTTGTTGCTGCTGCTGCTGCAAGCACTGGACATACTGTAAATCACAACCACAACCGAATCCTTAGCCCAGAAAACTGAATTCACTATGGCTTTTTGTGCAATCTTTTACTTAATTTTGTCTATTTATGTTATTCATGCACCACTGGAACACAATAGCATGGATATCTCAAATCTAAAAAAAAAGAGTGCCAATCAACAAGGGAACAAGGGCGAGATCACATCACATCTCCACATATCTTATTGATACTGTACACAGGGCACAATACTGTCTGTGCTTGTTTTGTTCTATCTTCCTGAGTGATCTCCTCAATATTAAAATGTGTCCTTAGGGTTTCTATTGTTAAAGGCTAAATGAGCAAGTCTTTGATCCATTTTGGGGTATATGGGCTTCCTGTGAATCACAGATTGTGTCTGATCAGCAGTGAAGGTGTGTAATACCAGATGCAGGTAGCAGACAGTAACCATTACAGTCACTGAGAGAGAGAGTTTATATTTTAAGGCCAGACAGTGTGAACGTTGGGAAGTGAGCTCCTGAGAGACATCCCCTGACAAAATGCTTGTCATTGCAGAGGCACTAAGAACATGTTTTGATGATTACATGATTCAAAGAACTAGCTTGCAGTTGACATGAATAGAATGTACAGCATCAAGCCTGAAGCATTTGAGATGACATTTGATGCTTAGAAAGATTTATTCTGCGAGCCTGTCCATATACGGTATTCTTCTGGGAGAAGAACAGAATATACACAGAAGCACTTTCTCATGAAGGAAGCAGAATTTGTGTATCCTCAGCAAGATGACAAAGCAAAGTTTTAGAATATCTCAGCGCTCAAGCACAATTAAGGTCTCTTTACATTACAACATAAAAGGAAATATCCATCCACTTTTAAGCCCAATTATTTTCTCTCTCTTTTCGTCTTTTTGGCCTCTGTTCTGTAGAGTTGTGAAGAAAATGCCAAGTGAAATTATGAAAAACACAAAGAGGCCTTTGATGTAAGTGCATATGAATAAACACAGCTTGAAATGCTGCAGGCATTTCTCATCATCCAAACTCCTACTTTACCCTTTATCTTTAAGGAGGCATAAAATGAACATCCAGCAAAACCTTTCACACAGGGGTGCGATCCTGCTACAAAGATAGGAACGTCAGAAAACATTCCTACTCAGGAAAAAAAATCACAGCTGAAAACCACAACTTTTTACTCAAGCAATGAGCCACGAGGTCAATTATATGTGGACTTTGTGTAATGAAATGAGTCAATGATGTTTGCCAACTTCTCTCTGGAATTAATGAGTACTTGACACTTCATATTTCCCCAGCCGTGGCTCCGGGGCATTATAATCAATACAACAAATTCATTAGCTGTCCGACTGAGTGATGTCCTGAAATCGCAGCTGTAAGAACCATTTAGCAAATATGAAATTATCGGCATAGAGTTAATCTCAAAAGAACAAACAGTGCATTTCCTGCAGAAATCAACAGCATGTTTGAGATTCCACTGGCTGACTGCATAACTTGAGTAGACAAGAGTAGAGGGAGGGCTGCACCAGATGTACTGTAAAAATTACTCATGCAAGTTTTGTTTTCTTTCAGTGGAGTTAAGAGTACAGAAAACGATAAAATATGCAGCACACATACACACAGCCACTCAGGGAACTGAGCTCTCATTGTGTTCAGTTTGGAGAAATTTTAATTTGAATTACAGATTTCTTTGGGTAGAGTTTTCACTTCCTCATTCATTTGGGCCATGAACAGTTTGTTCGGCAGCATACACCACAGCTTGTCTACCTTGTTTTTTAATGGGACATGGCCGCAGTGTCACTATCGATATTTACTGTTGAGGTTGAGGCCCTAAACTCTAAAAGCTGCAAGCAGCCAAGTTAGCATGTAGGGAATTCAAAATGTCATACCTAACACTGATCCAAGTGGTCCAGCTGACTCAGCTGCATGAAATTATGCATGACTTTATGTTGGGTATTGCAGTGTACAGGCACATGAGTCAGTATGAAATGGATAAACTTGTCATTTTCCTATAACCAGCATTCAGTCAGGGCACATTTTAGTGAGAGATAAACAAAACCTTTTTTTTTTTTTTTTTGACATTTGATAATCACAGTTCCCCATGCAACCGCATCTGCTTTTCATCTCTAGTTTTATTGCCATGGACATAAGATGGCTATGGCAACAAATGGATTAATTAAGGCAAATTAAAAATGGCTGAGCAGAGCCTACAAAGAGCTGGTGCCTTTTGTGATTTTACCTCAAGAGGTGTTGGCTGGTCAGTATGAGACATGTGTCTATGTGTAACTTGTTTGTATGACATTGCTGCTTTTTCTACTGGCAGGCGGATATAACCTCTACACTGAAATTAAAGTGTCTATGATCAAACAAACACTTGATTAGGATTGGATCTATCTTGAAATAAATTAATATTCCAGACATTTTACTTCTATTCCAGCTAAACATTTCTGAGGATCTGGCTATTACTTTCAAGGCTATGATTGTTTAATGCCATATGTGGTCCTATTAAAGTGCCCAGGGTCCAGGACCATGCTTCACCACTGCAGCTGCATGACCCAATACAAACTTTTTATGTATTATTTATTTTATATCTATACCGTGGAACTATTTTATTTTACAAAATTGACCTCTTGAACTCCGATAAGACGTCCCTGGCCCTGTAGCGGTCTCAGATTTAAAGAGTAAAGATACTGATATCATATGAAACTAATAAGTACAATAACTTATTGCTTGTGGCTTGTCATTTTGTGAGTAATACTTTGTGATGAGTGATATGAATAAGCCTGATATTTTAATATGCTACAACTTGATCTATGGTTTTTAGCTCACAGTTTTTGGGACTGTTCTAGAGTGGGCAGGTTAAAACGATGAGTAACTGTTTTCCTCCCAGCCAGAAACTGTGTCCTGGTCTGGCTGAGCTGTCCCAGCAGTGATGAATGCCTGCGCTGCTCAAGAGCTCAGAGCGATTCACAAGACGGGACCAATTACAGCCTCCCAGACATCGCCAGAGACCACCACCTCTGCATCTCTACGGTCACCATAATGACCTCTCAGGGGCCACTGGGAGGAGTTGGGATGCTATGATACGGAGCCTCTCCTGGGCTCTGACAGCACAATCTGGAAGAGCACACTGACTTAACATTTACACTGGGCAATCAGGGTTTTCAGAGGGTTTTAAAGTGAAATATAGATCGGTGTGATGATGGTTTCATTTGTCTTTCACGCTGTGAAAACCTCATATATCCAGTTTTGCTGATCCGTAAATTTGATCTGTGAGTCATTGGAGAGGTGGGTGGATGACCTCAGGACCCATGACGGCCAATCGCAACTTCTAACAAACAGGAGCACTGACTGAAACAACATTAGTAATTTTCTTGATACAACAAGTTTACTTTCTTCAAGGTGCAATGTGTAAATCCCTTGGCTGTGTTATTTGGTCAGAAAAACTAGACACTACCAGACAAGCCAAAATCTCATAGCTCCAATTTCACCGTCTTCATTATCTTTGAGTTATCTGCAAGGGGAATGAATTTCATGGGTGTAAGACCCATGACACCCATCTTAACATCCGAATCGTATTTAATGTGTGAAGTGCTTCAGCATCTATAGGAAAATAATGGAGTTTTGGATTTTTCTATCGTGGAAAAGTTTACTTTTTTTGCCGATGTACTGTTTAAATCCAATAGCAGTGTTAAGCTATTCATTTTATTCGGTCAGTACACCACTCAAGACAAGACCTGTATTTCATCCTTGCCTGTAATTGGCTCCCAAGTGAAGTGATGGTATTGCAGTCTTTGCCCATATCCAGCAATACTGTGGTATACATTATTTATATCCATCACTTGGAGAAGTTTGATAATGAGAATAGGCCATGAATGCACAATGCCTGGCCTCATCTCTAAACAATAATCAGCTCCCTCTTGCCAATTCCCTGGCGAACACAAAGCTGACCATTAACTTTCATTAAATGCTCTATTAAGAATCTCTGCCTCCCTCTCGAGTCCGCACTCTCTCCATTCTCTGTTGCTTGTGTTGCTTTTGCTCTCATGCTGGCTCTAATCGACAAAGATTGAATGATTACTGATGACAAACACAAAAAAGCACACACGCACACACACACACACACATATATATATATGCTGTTGGCTGTGCAAATGAAGACTGTTTGGCAGTGGCAGTGTGTGTTCTAGGCAGGGCTGGGACAATGACAACCAGCAGGAAGATGCAGGGATTGTGTGATTGCTAATTATAGAGGAGCTCCGATCTGCAAAGACGCCACAAGACGATTGGTGTAGAGAATAAATGTTGATGTTGCTTGTGCGTTAATTGTCGACGCCAAATCATGAGTTGTATAATTATGTTGTGTGTTGCGTCTCTGTGTTTTGGCTTTGTGTGTATCTGCAAACAAATGGTATGGCAAGTGATGTTTTGAATTCAGCAAGGAAAAAAGACTGAACGCAACTACACAGCTGTAATTATTTGATACTGTAGTGACATGTTTCCACTAACAGGTGCATGCTCGCTCTCTCTCAGTTCTATTGTAACCACAGGTGGTGTGATACATTTTCAAAGTCTCTATTTCA